AACAAAAGTTTTTTCTTTTGGAATGCAGTATTATATACTTTACTAGTAATCTTGATGATTGATATATAATTTCTCTCCATTTTCACCCGTTTCCCGCCCTTTCCAAACCCCCCTCTTCCCCCCCCCCCAACATACACACTTCCAACCCCCGTATTAAACAGTAATAATAGAGATGACATCAGAGTGCTACTATTAAATTTAAAAGTTCAAAATGAAGTGATTATAAAATTTACAATTTGTTGACATTAAGCCGTTTTGAGGTGTTAATAAAAAAAAATTTTTATAAATTTTTGAAATATTTTACAACTGTTCAAATTTTTTAACATTTTTTTATACACATAGATACGTCAAAAACAGTAGGTGAAGAATAAGGGCAGTAAAATGTAGGTGTATGTATATGCAGTACAGAGAGAAGACGATCGGTTAGGTTTGATGTCAAGGACTTTCTTCAATTCTCATTTTCGGTGTCTTTTCTGTTTTCACATTATTAAACTACGGGAATAGACTTAAATTGACACTTAAAAAGAAAATTTTTCAATCAATTGATGATTATTTATGGGGAAATGGTTTAGTGATAACTGTTCTAAAAAAAATGAAGCTGAATAGAAAAGATATTAACTATATACTTGGTCAAAATTTTGTATAATCTTACCGCAAAAAGAATGTATCAAATTTGGCTTAGTAACTGCGCTTTAATTAAATGTAAACTTTTGAGACTGAATGAAGAAAACACAAACTACCTGTTTCTTAGCACAATATTCTTAAAAACCTATAAAATCCATATGGTAAATTAGACACCCAAAAACATCAATGACAGTACTATTAATGTCAATTAGACTTTGGTTTGTTCAACAAGCAAATTATGATGATCAATGTTTGTTGTAAGGTAATTGATAGAACAATAGGTTGGATAAAAATCTGGCAAAACAAAAGAAGTGTAAAAGAATTTATGGAAACAAAATTTCTGCTGTATTTGCAGTGTCTATAAATAGGTAAAGATTAAACTGTTTTTATAGGGTTGTATAACCAAAAATAAACCTGTGTGTGTCTGTGTGTTTATGAGGACAAATTTTGTACGGTTTTAAAACTTATCTCATAGATCAAAAACTGTTCTGTTCGGTAGAGACAATATTTATTGTGTCATAAAGGTAAAAAAAAAAGAGTTCTCATATTGTTGTTTAATATGTGTCAGTTTAGTGTACACAACATTTTGACAATTTACTTTTTTTTTTTCTTCTGTTTTTGACAATTTATATTGACTGGTATTTTAATTGGTTTCTATCATCTGTTATCATCGATTTGACCAGTTCATCATCATAACCACTTATCGTTCAACAACAGTTAACAGTGGTTTTTGTTTTATATTTTAGTCAACTGTATCAATTTTTGTACAATTTTAATGAGCAAACTTTTTTCCTTATGCTTAACCTTCTTTGATTTGGGACTACAGTTCAAATTGCTGCCTTCAGTAGATACGTAGATACGTGTAATTAGCAGTAACTGATATGCCAAAGAACAAATTTTCAGCAATTCTTTTTTTTTGCTTTTCTTTCGTTCCTGCAAAGATTTTACAGGCTATTTACAGTAGATCAGAAATTAACTGGAAGTTATTGATACACTGTTCATTTTTTTGACACATCATTAGTGCCAACTTAAAAGCAATTTTCAGTTGTTGATTGTTCGATTGTTTTGTCTATACTTTTGAACAAAGTATCGTCAATAATTTGAAATTTTTTCTTCACTTTAGCTTTTTCGTTCTATCCCCCCCTCCTCTCTCCCATTATCATTTAACGTCATTTAAACTGGCTTTTTCAAAAAAAAAAAAAAA